GGGTTTAGGGTTTAGGGTCTGGCTCGTAGCATCTGAGCCTTGATCGCGTGAGTCCACCGGATCTTCTCAGCGCGCTTGAAGGCCATCTCCAATACCTCAGAGTTTAGGGCTTTAGACCTAAAGCCCTAAACCCTTAGTTAGGGGTTTTGTTAAGGGTAACTAAGGGAATCAACACCCTAATTAAAATGAGGGCGTAGGGTTCACAGTTGATGAAGTACCGTTCTAAAATCCTCTGAACCCTGAATCCGCTTATCTTAGTCAGCCTGGGGTCCAGGGATTGCGGTGCATCGGCATGGTCCGGCTTGCGGGCTTTAGTCAAGGGTGCAAGTTCTATCCGGATGCCAAAGCTTGTTCTGAAGTCGGCCCCTTACGAGAAGAAAGGGTCAATATAAGGGAGTTAATAGTTGCAATTACAGTAGGGTGCGTAATTATAACCAGGACTTTTGTCTTAGGAAAGTTCTTCTGTGTTCAACACTGAGTTTTGCAAAACAACCTTAGGTGCTGAAGCCAAGCTCGCGACAGCTCTGCCCACTGGAGTCACGAAGCCGTAGCTGAAATGTCCCATGTCCTGCGAGAAACTCAGATTGAGGAAGGTGGTCGTGCTCGCAGTGCTAGAAATACTCGTCGCCACTCAGTACCGACAGTGATACTAGCAGATGTATGCTCGCGGCAAAGGTCGCGTAGGCAGCACGAGCAATACAGGTCACGATGCCAGGCCCATGATGTCCGCGTGCAGAAGAAAAAAACGAAATCCCAGAACGGTCTGCATGTGTGTCTGTGAACTACTGTATCGGTCCATGCCCCATGTTTACATACTCGAACCTAAGGGACCGCTGTGCAGTTTCTGAATACTAGGCTCTCTCTGACTCAATTCTTGTGAAAACATCTAAGCCCCATAAACTTTAGGCGTTTTCATTTGGAGGCGACCCAATGCCGGCTTGCGTGTTATCTCACTCCGCCCGTATGGGGTTGCTACTATGGACCGGAGCTGTAAAAAGCTTCTACGGATACATACTTTGCGGGTTTCATATTTGGGAGCTGTCTGTTCAACACGTCTGCTCCAACTGGTCTCTATGAAGAGTATATCTAGAACCTCTTCGGGATCGAAGAGATTTGACTTTGACTTCCACCCTAAGACCAAGTCTAATCAAGTACGAATGCCTGTAGAGGTATGGAACTGTCTCGGTGATTCTTGGAAGAGTTCTGTCGATGGCAAACAGCCGTCGAACAATTTTTCGTGCATTAACGCATTCCCTTTCGAGTGCCAGCAGTACTGATGGTGGCAGCAATAACGATGGAGAGAGGAGAGTAGTAGTAGTAGTAGTAATTAGT